ACAATATATTTTGCTCAACAATTCATGTACAACTTAATAAATTAACTAATTAAATTAATAGAAATTACATTTTTTATTTACAAAAGAGATTCCACAGCATTTCCTGATCAATTGCGATTTGTTCTAAATACGAAGAAATATTTTATAGTAGCCCAAATCAGCTTTGATAAAGAGTTATTGTATATCATATTGAACTTCAACAAAACATCACCACAAACACAAAAAGTTACCAGTGTTTGGTCAAACCGGTGGAAAAAAATCGTCACTTTCGGAATAACCACGAAAAATAATACCCTAAACTGGAACCATTTAAGCTACAATATAATCATAAAAATCATAGATGATTTTCGTTGCATTCAACAGTGATATTTGAGTGTGTTTGTGACTTCTTTCATCATCAGGTGTGCTATAAAAGGGTGGATTGGTTGACTAATCCAAACAGAAGGGATCTTGTTGAAATCTTGTTATATATGCGTTGGTTGAGTAATACATGTAATACAAAATAAAATACTGTGAAATATTTTAGGTGGAATTAATTTTCGCTGAAAAAACTTTTTGGGTGTTTTGTGTGGATTTTATTTTCACAAGTTGAATGTAAAATATAGGAAAAAAAGTATATTCGCTTGATTTTATTCAGCGAAGACAGCGAAAATTAATTCCAAGCGAAAATAAAATATTTTACAGTAAATGTAATAATAATAATAAAAAACAATTCCAAAATAATAGAAATATTAGTAAAAGTAAAACAAAATATATGAAATAAAATTCATGCTGTACAATACTTAAAATTTTAGTCAGATTGAGAGGAACATGGTGTTGAGTTATCATTACTTCATTGAAAATTGACCACCATCAAATATGTAAGCATGAAAATACCCTAAAATTCACAATGTTTTGATATCGCTATTACCATTATTCGTCTTGGTTCGTCTCATCTTGGCTGGAACGGTAGATGTCATGAACACAGAAAAAACATTTTCGGGGATATCACCCATCAAGCGAATA